AAACATTTAAAACGATTTTCAACAATAAGAAATTATGTTCAATTAAATATCTTAAATAATATGTGATAATTTATCTATATTAGTGAAATATTCGTAAATACCTCAATAACTTCAAATATTGCCGAGATAAATTTATAAGGAGACCGAATAATCCCTTTCCATTTTTTTAACAATTATTTTTTAAGTAAAAACATACTTGACTTCAAAATCACTTTTTACGTAATTAGTTCAACTTTAACAGTGAGATTTTGACTTGAAATTAATATAGAACCTTTGAAGTCCACACAACATACGTTTAAATCGTTTCAAAATTTGCGAAGACATCTTGCAACATCCACACAGAAACACCCGATTTACCTTTTATAAGTACTTTTTTTGAAGTCGAGCAATAAATAATTTTACTAAAATTTATTAAAATTTGATGTATAATCCATCATGTATACGATATTTGGCAGGTGGATGGTTGTGATGATTAGCAATTTCAATGATGCCAAAATCATCGTTCAGGGTCAACTTTGCGTTACAACCCTTGTAGTTATTTGTGGAACAGTACCAATGGGAACAGTTTTTCTTCTTGCACAATTTCTTACAATAGTACGTGTAATCGTCGAGAATTACAATCTGCTTGCCTGAGTACCGTGACTTTGCCAGAGTTAAGACTAAAACAGTTAAAATTCATTAGAATAGGCGTAAATTAGGTAAAATATTATTTTTTTAGAACGGGATCAGTCTTACATATTTACATATTTGAAATTTTACCTGCTTATTATTATTCAGATTAATAATCATAATTTTTAGTTAAATTAGAATTTTAAAGGAAAAACGGAAACGGAAATAATAATAATAATAATAATAATAAATACTCTTTATTGTACACCCACAAGAGAAAAAAGAAAAAAAATTACAAGAAATATATAAAAAGAGTTATGTACAAGAGGCGGCCTTATCGCTAAAACAGCGATCTCTTCCAGGCAACCTTAAGGTGTTGGAATTGACAAACTGTAAGAGGGAAGGGGTGTGAACTATACAGTAGTAATAATAATAATAATAAAACCATAATAATAATAATACAATAATAACAATAATTAATTTTTAATACTATGAATAAACTTACATATCAAAAATACATACATATGTACATAATAATAATATTATATTTACATAAATATGATAAGATTAATACAAGACAAAATACTTATAATAATAATAATATTTAATATATTATGGGTACATAAATATATAAATAATATTATATCATATTAAATAGATAATAATAGAACTTATAAGTAAAATGGCATTAAAAAAAGACAAACAAAGATGGTAAAAAGAATATGGTTTAAAAAGAGTGAAAATGCAGTTTTAAACGGTTTTTAAAAGTATTATACGTTTTGGCGCCTCTTACGCTCAAAGGGAGAGAATTCCAAAGTCGTGAGGCTGTTACACAGAATGATTTATCACTAAATGAAGTGGAATGAGGAGGTATTTTTAAAATTAAATTTTGACAGGAGCGCAAGTTTCTCGAATGAGAAAGACCCAGAAATTTAAATTTATCTTTTAAATAGGGAGGAGAAGATGGATCAAACAGAACACGGTAAAGAAGATGAAGGACATGCGTATTCCTGCGAAGGCGAATAGGGAGCCACTTGAGCTTTCTGAGAAATTCAGAAATGTGGTCATATTTTCGCAACCCAAATATGAACCGTATACATAAATTTTGAAGCCGCTCAAGCTTATTTAATTGCTCCTCTCTTAGATCAAGATAACAAGAGTCAGCATAATCAAGGATAGGTAGTAGGAGAGATTGTGCTAGCGCAATTTTAGTAGGAATGGGAAGAAAGTTGCGTAACCGACGAAGTGATGCTACGGATGCAAACATTTTCCTGCTCGTCTCACCTAACTGCGGAGCCCAGGACATATTCTGGTCCATAATCACGCCTAGGTTCTTGACAGTGTCACTATAAGGTATAATTATACCATTTAATAGAATAGATGGTAATGATAACGACGCGACCCTAGCAATGAGTTTCGAGCTACCAATAATTATACTTTGAGTTTTTGCCGGATTAAGATGGAGTCCAAAAGATCTACTCCATGAGGCTATACTCCTTAAATCTTCGTTCATTTTATCAATCGCTCTCGGTAATTCAGTAATTTTCGCGTGAATATAAATCTGTAGATCATCTGCATACAGGTGGTAGTGAGAAGAAATGTGATGACATAATGTATTAATAAATACTGAAAAAAGAAGAGGAGACAACACGCCACCCTGCGGAACACCTGACTTGACTGTTGACCAGTCGGAATACGAATCATGAATCCGTATACGCTGTCGGCGTCCACGCAGGTAAGAAAGAAACCAGTCAACTACTTTAGGAGATATGTTAAGAGAACGTAACGTAGCAAGTAAGATGTCAAAATCAACAGTATTAAAGGCATTGCTAAAATCCAGTAAGGTAAGTACTGTGACTTCCTGTTTATCCATGCCTTTGCGAATATCATCAGAGATCTTGACTAAAGCAGTTGTCGTACTATGCCCAGGACGGAAAGCGGATTGTAGAGGATTGAGGAGATTATGAGTAGAAAGGAATTGATTGAGTTGATGGAGTACAAGACGCTCAAGTACTTTGGATAAGAAAGGAAGGATTGAGATAGGACGATAATCATTATAAAGAACAGGATTAGATTTTTTAGGTAATGGTACAATTAGAGCATCTCTCCAGGAGGAAGGAAATTCACAGGAGATAATAGAGTGATTAAATATAAACGTTATAACAGGACATAAAACATCGAGGATAGGCAAGATCATTTTCCGACTAATACTATCAGCACCAACTGCATCTGATTTTATAGTAAGAATGTTTCTCTTAACATCACTTTCAGTAAAATGACTAAAGAACAATTGTGGAATATTAGGAGGGGATAAAGCTGAAAGTTGATTAAGAGTCTGTTGCTTAATAGTACTATCCATGGTACTTGAAGTGGAGAAATGCTTGTTAAGCTCGTTTAAATTAAGATTATTAGGGTTTACGCTTTGGCGTGCTTTTCCCACTCCTAAAGATTTCAGAAATGTCCAAACTTTGGATGAGTCTTCTTCCTCTACCACAGATGTATAGATATGGCGTCGTTGATTATCTCTACATACTCTGTTACAGTGATTCCGAGCCTTAGTATATTTGAGACGGTTTTTTTCATTGCTATTGACCCGATACTTCATTTTCGCAGCGTTCTTTTTTTGTTGCAATTTTTTAATTTCTTGAGTAAGCCACGGGGCAGGGAGATGCTTTATTCGTACAGGTCGTATGGGAGCATGTCTGTCGTACAATTGTGTTAATTGTGAGTTTAAAATTGCTACTTGTCTGTCCACTGTGTTACTGCAAAAAATTTCAGACCAGTCAATTTTACTCGCATCGTCTCGCAAACGCTCTAAATCCATTCCTGCAAAATTACGCTGCAGAAGAACTCTTGACTTTGCTTTAGGGGGCTTAATTTTATAGGATAAATAAAGGAGATCATGGTAAGAAAAGGCCAAGGCAGAGCATTGCCCGTGTTTTTCTACATGTTCGACAGAGGACACTAGAATAAGATCAAGAAGTGATGGTAAGCTATTAGGATAAGTATGTGTAGCAGATAGAGGAAGGACATGCAAATTGACACTATTAACTATTGATCTTAAGCGTGATGCACGATGATCATCCTTTAAAAGACAGGTGTTAAAATCGCCCATAATTATGGTATGGTTATAAGAAGGTCGGAGTCGCTCTAACAGGGTCTCAAAAGAACTAAAGTAATTGATCGTAAGGCATGGGCTGTAATAAACACCAAGGAGAACTTTGGTATGAGCAAAAATTATCTCAATAAAAAGATGTTCACCAGCATCGGGTAGTTGTTGCGAAAGGTCCACTATAGTAAACGGTATGTGGGAACGTAAGAAGATACCAACTCCACCACCAGCTCGGCCAATGCGATCATTACGTATCAAATGAAATCCTGGAAGAGAATAACAAGAGGACGATAGGCATGGTTTCAGCCAGGTCTCGGAAACTAAAACTGCATGTATATTTTTGCTATCAAAAGAAGACAGTAGATCAGGATAATGTGCAGGAATACTTTGAGCATTAATATGGACAATATTAAAATTTTTCAGTACATCCGAGAAAGCAGAATTAAGAGATTCACTTAGAGACGGGATGCTATGGAAACTGTTGTCACTGCTTAACCCATCGTTTGAGGATAAGGAAAAAAAGGATTCATCGAGATTGCTATGATTACTTGCCATTATAAATGAAAAATATATAGATATCTATATTACAATAATATTCAATAGTATATAAATAAAAATAAATAAATAACGAAGATAATAAAAACTTAATAGTAAAAATAATAATAATATAACACAAAAAAAAAAAAAACCCGCTAAAACAAACTTATTCGCACCCGCCAGTTGCAAGAAGAGATAAAACAACACTAATGCAATATCAAAAATATTATGAGAAAATAAAAACTTAAATAAGTTATTATACAATAAAAAAAAATTATATATATATCATAATTATAAGGACTTTTTGAACTTTTATATACAATTAGAAGAAAAAAATAAATAAAATATATATATGTAACGAAACAACAGGCCAAAGCCCGCCCGTCCAGTGCAATTAACAATACTTAACATGAGACTTACATAATCTGTAATCTGTATTATAGGGTGCCATGATGGTAAATGGTAATTGTCAAATGTCAAATGTAGTCTGTAGAAGTATAACTAGGAAGTGATTTTGGCAAAATAAAATCTATTATTGTTAAAATTAAGTAATAAGTATAACTATTTGCAAACCTTAATATAATACATTGTACAGAAAAGTAGTAAAAAAGTATAATACAAGAAAAATCATTAAAAAGAGAACAAAACACCGTATGACGATTCACTTACATATATAATGTATAACAACAATATAGACGAAATAAAGTTAACTACGTAAAATAAAATGAAAACTATCTACCTACTTCTTTAATACTCGTTTTGTACGTTGTACTGTTATTTTAGCACCTGAATTTTTTGGAACAACTACAGTGTCTTGAACAGCTTTAGGCGATGCCAGCGTTGTATGACGTATGGCTTGAAGATCAGACAGAGTCTCCACACGATAACGCTTGCCATCGGACGCTAATACGTTAATGCAACCGTCTTTCGTCCAGCATTTCCCGACACCGTAACGTCGCCTTGCTTCCATGAACACATCGTGACGATTCTTGGTCAGGAATTCCGACTCAGTTACACCAGAGCCCTTGAGTCTAGCCTTCGCGAACCACACACTGTCACGGACCTGCGCCTCCACAAACTTTACCACAATTGGTCTGGGTTTTTCACCAATCACATGTCCTAAACGGTATGACGACGAAATACTAGCACTGGAGAAGTTAGGCAAATCCAGGTGTTCAGCAACTATGGAAGTTATTAAACCAAGTGTGTCTTCCGACTTCTTCTCAGCAACACCATGAAAGAGGAGCATTTTTCGCCTCTTTCTTAATTCCATCCGATCCAATTCACGGCTTAGCAACTCTACTTGTTTTTGAAGAGAAGTTAATGCAGCCTGGATGAATAATTTAAAATTACTAAAATCTGCAGCAATGGATGTTATTGAAGGTGCTGTAGAGGTTTTGCTCAGGTCTTGTTGGAACTCATTCATTCTACTGTTAAACATTTCAGCCATTGTAGACAGGGACTCCTTGATAGCTTCCATATTTTAAAGAGTTGTTTAATTAGTGTGTTATTAAGTGAAATAATAAAGGACAAAACTTCCTGGTGGGTTCTGGAAATTACATATGCATTTATACACTTTCACTATTGTTTTATTATATTAAATTATTAATATTTGTAGAGCTTAATAAAAACTTTGTGTTCACTTATTTACGCCTACCCACGAAAAAGAAAAAAAATAAATCTAATCTTTTAGATGTGTTCTGAAATATATGGCTATACGAGTAATATGGTTATATATTATAATATGATTTAATTCCAATTTTTGAATAGAAAGAAGAACATGTAGTTAAAGAAACAGATAATTAATAGATATTGATTAAAAAAATATAAGTCATTTTAATGAAACAAAACCTTTAAAATATAAAAAAAACTTTATTTTAGAAATACATTTTTATCTATATATTTCGACTGTACTTATTCTTCCATATATTTTAAAAGTATCCCAACCTTTAAATTTAAAAAGATATTAAACTACTACGTACATAATCTATACAGATAAATCAAATTGAAGTGTCTGTTTGTAATGGCAAAATAACATCTTTTTACTAAATGCATATGTAAGTATATACGGTACTAACAAGTAATAAAATCAATTTTTGTCTGTCTGTCTGCCCGTCGGTCCGTCCATCCGTCCGTCAATCTGTTCGTTTCGGCGAATCTTCGATTTTGACGGAACTTTCATAGGCAGATAGCTGATGTTACAAGTAATTAAAGTTAATTAATGAGTAACTTAGGCTACTTTTATTTTAGAAAAAGAATCAGTCAAAAAAATTGAAATCCATAAAATTGTGAACAAAATCGTACCTAGGGATGCACCCGAGCGAAGACAAGTAGCTAGTATATTATAATATAGAAAGAACTGAGTAACGTACTAAAAACGAATAGGTACATATGTTACTGCAAAAGCTCGAACTATGGTAAATATTAAAATTTTATAGAAAAATATTAAATCTAATATCGATCTTATATAAACATTAAATAAATTTTACTAGATAACCTTAGAACGTAGCACACAACGAAGCCATTAAGTATATAATTGAATTGAATTAGAATTTACCGCAATTTAAACTATCACAGTAACAATTATGATACCTATCTGGATTTCAAATTTTCATATAAATGCCATTTTTCACAACATAGCGTGGTGGTGCATGGTTATGTTGAGAGTTAACCCGTATCATTTCATTAGTACTGTTTCTGAGTGTAAACTTCGCTTTACAATGACCAGCCATTGTGCATCTATAAGTACTTGTGGAAACATTTTTAGTGCCAGGATAATAAGAGTATCCATCCATCAAAGCCAATAATCTGCCAGAACTCCTCCTTACAAAATGCACTGAAATATAAAATAAAATTAAATAAACTATTACAAATTACAAATACAAACCTTAAAATAAAGTGCGCTTATTCGTATTTGAATGTTAACTTTGTGTTACGTTGAATCTTTAACAAAGACAAATAACGAAAAAAATGCATAATTGCGTGGGGGTAAGTAATTCCCCACCTATAAATATATAGATATTGGCTTTAAAATCACATTAATTATAATTAATTATTATAAGGATTAATTATTTACTCATAGTATTATTATTATTATTTTTTAAATTGTAACAAACTTATTTCTTCCGAATGATTAATACATATATAATAATTATAATGATATGGATAGAAATAGAAGAAAGAATTCAAAGGAACAAAATTTAAAGTAAAACCGCAAGAGAATCCGAAAAATAGTTTTATTTGAAATTATCTAAAGTAGATTTTTTTAAGTCCGGGTAATAATACAATAATTTTTTGTCATCAAGTTGACCTGATTATAGTAGTAGTAGAGAAAGGAGTTATGGGTTTTAGTAAGAGCTACGAATTTAGACTTAATTGATTAGTCTTGACAATTCTCAAACATTAAAATTGGTAGAAAGCAATGAAGTTCAATTATTATTTTATATTCTTAGATTAATCTCTATAGTGCCAAGAAGATAAAAGCATGAAAACTTTTTTCAAAGCTTTGTATTATTTAATCAAAAATTTAAAAAGTTTAACAAAAAAAATAATTCCTGAAACATAGGAGTAGAATTGCTAAATAATTAATGTTGAACGAAAAAAAATGTTATTAAGAAAACATTATCTATAGTCTAAAAACATAGAACAAAAAATGAAATATAAAAAAAAGATAGGTATTTTTTAATTAAAGACAGCCTCGACCATATCCAACCATCCGTCTGCGATGTATTTCTTTGGATATTATCACTACATAGTATAAAACAAAGTCGCTTCCCGCTGTCTGTCTGTTCCTATGTATGCTTAGATCTTTAAAACTACACAACGGATTTTGATGCGGTTTTTTTTAATACATAGAGTGATTCAAGAGGAAGGTCTATATGTATAAAACATGCAAAAATTTCTATTTCATACTAACAGTTACTAACAGTTCAATATATAAAATTCTTTTCATTCAACAAATTGTGAAGGGCGATTTACCTTTGGATCTTTTATCCTATCTATCATATATATGTAGTTTAAAAATGAATTATTCACTGCTGTTTATGAAAAAATAATAATATGGTCGAAAACTAAATATACATAATAACAAAACTAAAACTTTTAAGAATAATATTAAGACAAAAAACGAGTAACATTCTACGAACAATTAGTATGGTCAATAAAAAAAAACAAATAAATGAGAATGATATAATATAATAATTATATTTCATCTCTGTACTACGTAGCGAGAATAACACGTCCTTGCCACATATATTTTAAATTTACTTCAATGAAATCGAATCTATCAAGTCATCTTGTAATGAGGTAAGAAAATATAAGAAAATTAAATTTTTAGAAAAATTCCATCGCTAATAATATATTTTAAGGGCTTGTGAGAATGGCACAAGTTCTTTCTAATGATTCGCAACTCTAACGTACTATATGTAAACCTTCCTCTACACTGAGGCCCCTTCGTGCATCTCCAAGTTATTGAGGTTTTTGTTATAGCTGCACGGTAAAAAGTGTAGCCATCGATTAAAGCAATCTGATTTCCAGAATGGTTCTTAACCCATTGCACTGAAAATAATTTTTTTTATAGTAAACAGATATAAAAAAATAAGTTCAAACTTATAACCAAATATTAACATTAAAACAACCCTATTTTCAGGGTACTCGGGTTAATAATAATAAAATGCCACTAATGTGTTAAGACATATTATTACGTTCATTAAGTAGGTAATATTATCTATCTATTCTAAGATTCTATACATACCTATAATAAAATTGTAACTAAGCCGAATCTGTACATTAAATATTTTTTGGAAAATCTTATTGAAATAGACATTATTATCGATATAGAGACCGAATCTATAGTTTTTAGGATTTTTGTCTGTCTGTCTGTCTGTTACCGCATCACAGAAAGACCACTAAAGGGATTTTGATGAAATTTGGTATGGTGATAGCTGGTTATCCGTCAATGTAAGAGTATACTAATATGTAAAACCTAAGAATTTGGTGTTTGGTCATCTGAACGCGGGCGGAGCCCCGGGCAATGCTAGTACATAATATTATATATATATATATATATATATATATATATATATATATATATATATATATATATGTATGTATATATATATATATATCACACGACAAAAAAATTATAAAAATATATATGAATACATACATTTTTTTTATTACACTAACATTACTTTATTCGTTTTTCTAATAAAGTTGGATAAATAATTAAAGATGTCGTAGATAGACAGACTTACACCTTACTTCATACCACAAACTTAAATTTTACAAAATTTATATAATACTAAGGAATGATAGCATTTTTCAAACTTTCGTGTATAAATGCGATAAGCTACAGTCGATTTAAAAAATCTGTAACGCTGACGGTTATCCGACGAAAGATTCTGTATAAATTAATTTATACATAAAACATATAATAAAATTTTGAGATTAAATATTTTTAATGATATTTCATGTCCTTTATTAATATGTTTTATAATATAGTTGAAAAATCATAAAATATGACTAAATAAGTCTGTAACTCTATTAACTATTGATAATACAAGATATTTGACCTATCCAATTTTGTTGCAAATTTTATGTAATTGCATTTGCACCAGTTTTATTATTATCGATATTTCAGTTCATAAAAGCAAAAATTTGAAAAAATAAATATTCGTGAGCCTGTAACTTTGTTGATATTGATGGTATGAAAAAGTTAACAAATCCTTTTTTTATAGGATTTTAAATGTACTACAAATTTACCATTTAACATTTTTCTCTAACTCTTACAGTTTAACTAAAAAATTCAAACACCGTAAATTTGAACTTCAAAGCCATAAATTCGACTCAATGGAACTTTTTGTAGTAAGTTTAATACTAAAAACGGTCCATTCATTCATTTTGTTTTAAATATTTTCGTCACAGTTTGCAGGACAAAAAAGTGTTAAAAATCATATTTTCCATACAATTTGTATAGGAAAACTTAAAGTTCGATGGAGAACCTCTTAGAATTGGAATTTTGAGCTCCGCTTTTAACAGGAGCTTTGTTGGGACATTTTCTGAGATATTTTGGGGTGAGAGCGAAGAAAAAAAATATCGTAATATTTGGCACACCCTAATCTACATATTTACAATACAATTTTAAACCTAAACTTTCGTATAAATGCCATTCATCACAATGAATCGTGGCGGTACATGATTATGTTCGTAGTTGGAACGTATTATTGTTTGAGAGTCGTTTGCGAGGGTGAATTTTGCTCTACAACTGCCCCCTTTAGTGCATCTCCAACTACTCGTCGTGATGTTCTTAGTGCCAATGTAATATGTGAACCCGTTGATCAACGCTAGCACTGTACCAGAATCCTTTTTCACAAATTGCACTGAAAATAACCAGTTTTGTTAGAAAAGAGTTATATTGTTGACTGATTTTAAGATATTTTCTAATTCCATACTCGATAAAATATTTGTCAATTTTACATATTGTGTAAAAGAGAATATCTGTTACATTAGGAAATATGTTATGCCCCACGCAGCGTGGGATAAGGATAAGGAGAAATTTTGAAAACCTTACATTATTATATATCAAGTTACTTGCAATCGGCTAAAATTATTAACCTGTATTTCGAATATTTGAGATCTAAAGATAAAAATGTAAGCAAAAGATTTATTGTATTGAGATAATCTAAAAAGCTTTACGAAATCTGCTTTTTCTATGATATCGAAAAAAAACCAACCGATTATCTGCTTATTATGATGTGAAATATGTACTCGTACGTGGGTACCGTAATATTGGAACGTTAAAAAAATATTGTTTTAAAGCTCTTTTTATTTGTTATCAAAGAACATAATTTACCTATCAGTAATTATTATGGTTACATTCGTTACACATAAATGTTAAAATGTATATGTAAATTATAGTAAATGAAAAAATGCCTTGGGTTATTTTACATTCTATCGAAATTTAATAAATTAATCAAGAAAGACAACTATTAACGCCATTTACACATTGTCCAATATAATAAAATATATAAATATCTACACAAAAAGTCTTTTCTTTGTTTGAAAATATTGTAATATATTGAAAAAAATCATGCAAATTACATCCTTACATAGTCAGCTTCATATTTAAACATATTAGTGCTCGCCCCACGATCTAAATTTGACAATCATTATTGAAAATTTGAGAATATATGTATGTAGATAAATAAATTCTATTCATATATATTTCTTAATGATAACACTAAAGCTCATCAATAGCAAAAAAAATATTGCTCGACAAAGACGAGAAAAATGTACGGAATTTTTTTGTCGTTGCCGATTTATTTATTTATATATATATATATATATATATATATATATATATATATATATATATATATATATATATATATTTGTTATATTTTTAAATACGAAACTGATAAATATTTAACTTACTTCTAAAACTGATTTATGTAAATACTTCTGTTAACTATAAATTACAAAACACTAATGAACATTGGAAATCGTTGAAGGATTTATGTAAAAATATTAACTTAATCATAACTTAACGTGGATACCATTACTATTACACCACAAAACCTGGCCGGGGCTAAATTTTAATACAAATTCCATTACGAATTATATGTTGTGAAGATATGTGGTTGTGGCAGAAGTTTGTCCTTACGATGTCTAACTCTAAAGTGCTCGTAAACTTTGCTTTACAAGAAGGATACCTTGTGCATCTCCAATTAATTGTACTTTTATTCTTAACACTGAAATTATACGTATATCCGTCAATTAGAGCTAACGTATTCCCAGCCCGATTTTTCACCCATTGCACTGAAAACAGAATATTTTTATAATTAAAGTATTTTATGTACTGCTTGCTGCTTTTTGCCTAGACAATTTTATTTATACAATCGATAACGGTACCAGATGTCTACTAAATGTCCATTCAGTTATCGTCACACTCTTCTTCAGCTTACACGAAACTCATAGCAGTATACAATAGTATATACCATATTTTATAAACTCTATATGGTTTTAGTGAACTCAAGTTCTTGCAAATTAAGCTTTCTGCGTCATATTGCAAGGTAATAAAACGTTATGTTCATTTTTAAATATACATATATTAATTCAATCTAATAAATATTTCTTAAAATTATATTAATAATAACTATACAGAAACAAATGGCTCGTACAATATTTTGACTTGATTGTTCAACTTAAATTATCTCTGATTTAATTAATGTGCTTCGTTATTCTACTTTCAAATAACAGTCTACAGTTTTGTCGTTTTGCAATGTAAAAAGAGAAATGACAAAATATTTTGCCCTTTACCAAATAATTTTCTATCACCAAAACTAAAATTATATATGTATATTTTTAGTAATATCTATATAAATATATAGATTTTATTAAAATATAAATATAATACTAGAATTAAAGTTATATATTACTAAAACTAAAGTTATCTAAAGCTTGTTTTAAAATCTTAATCTATGAGATCAACGAAATTAGCTCAAATTGGTTTACTTAAGCGTTTGTTCTTATCTACCACCTAAATTTTTGTACATGTAAGAAGGAGACAGAGCATGTTTTATTTATTTAGGTATTTTAAATATTTATGCGTAAAACTATTAAAGATTTCACTCAATGCACAAGAGTCATGGCAACAATGGTTCATAATTCGTTTATTAAAAAAAATCGAAGATAAAAAAATATCTTTGATATAATACATTTATTGTAACAAGTTACATTCTGAACAAACGTCCATCCCTTATAAAAAAGCTTGGTGGCGGATGTCCGTGCCATAACTGACATTTCATGATTTCCAAGCCCTTGTCCGTGATAAATCGAGCTTTACATGCATTGCCCCTAGAGCATCTCCAAGCGAGGGTTTGAGAGCAAACCTTCGCACAGTAGTACGTGTACCCGTTTACAATCGCTACTTGTTTTCCGCCCATGTTCGTTGCTACAGTTACTAAAAGAAAAACATAATTTCATTAACTCTGTCTTAATGGAGATCCAAAGTAAAAAGTCCACTTAAAATTCACTTCATTCGTTTAAGAGTACAACATAATTATTTTTTAATTAAAATAATAAAACAAATTAAATTTGATGATAATTTAATTAAATTCATTATATTACGAAATCATTAATAATATAAATACTTATACCCTAAACCAACATTTTATTCATAATATGTAATTTCATTTAAATTCTTCTTTCCTTTATACAATATGCCATCAGCAACAAAAAACTTTGGTGGATTATGATCGTGACACCCTTGTTTTCGGATGACGTAGTACATATCTCTTGTAGTGACGAATCTTGCTTTGCACATCTTTCCTCTTGTACATCTCCAGGCGACAGTGGAAGTCCCCACAGCTGCACAGTAGTACGTGAAGCCGTTTAGCACAGCTACTTGCTTACCCGCTAGGTTAGTTGCCACTATAACTGTAAAAACATATAATATTATATATACAGCTCATAATAGTTCACCATAATCTTCAGAATATTCTAAATGAATTGTTAAAAAAAAACTAAAACGTGAGACTGGGAAAGTACGACTCTCACAGAATATGTACGTTAAGTAGCAGTACCGGTACTGTTGCGTTTCGATCGATGAGTGAACACCGGAGGGGTAACCCCTACCACTCCTCCCTGTCTGTCCCCTTCCTCCTCACTTTTCCCTCCTTTTAAACCCCCTCAAAGTGGTCACGCGCGAGCTATGCCCCCTGGTATTTCAAGGGTATATGGTGTATTTAATAATAGGCCGTGTAGTTTATTCCCATATATTAATTAATAAAAACCATTTTTTTAATAAATCTATATTACAATATTTGGCGGTATTCAATTAATGAAGATTTTGTATAGCAAATAAAATACACAATAAAACAAAGGGATGTCTCAAAATCTTATTGCTGTTTTGTCTATACAATGTTTTGCAGACCACAATCGTATTGACAAAGTCCAATTTATTGAGAATATTTATGATAGCTTTAGAATTTTATGCTATTAATCTCGTTCGATCGCTTACTTTAAAGAATAAGGAATGTATTAGAAGTTAATTTACAATTTTTGAGAAGAAATTATGAATAAAGGTATCAGAATAATAATATATTGTTTTGTAACTTTTGCATATATGTACATATGTAAGCTAGTTTTTGTAATGAGTTTTCTATTAAGACATGTACGTATCCAGTTCTAAAACATATATTATTTTAAAAAAATATTGTTTTGCTTCATGTTTGGTTCTAAGACACTCTGTATATATTATTTCTTAATCTGATGATATAAATGTCTAATTAATTGAACTTAAAGAAACGCCATTGATTTAAATTCAGAAAAATAACTTATTATTATACATATGCTTATGCATACAAGAAGTTACTATATTATATAGAGTAAATTTTAAAATGACATACGTATAACGTATATGTAATAATTAATTCATAATAAAAACTTTTTAACAAAAAAATAGAAACCGACTTCAAACAAAAGCACTAAAAAGTAAAAAATAACTGATTGGTAGTTTTCATTTACTATACATACCTAATCAAATATTTTCGAAGTCGGTGTGCTTTGCTTTATATAGGCTGGCACCGATTTCGAAAATATTTGATTTAATAGGTAGGCTTTAATTACTTAGCCAAAGATCTAATCGAAATTTTTGGTATAAAAATAACAGCGGACTTTTTTTGACATGTGGTATACTCGTAATAAATATTTACACTTAATTTGAAAATTGACTAGTACTATACCATGTGCAGGGTTTTAAATTTTGCTAATAGGTTTTATGTAATATACATATTTTTCTAAATAGTTCTATATGTTTATTTAATCTGTGGTAAGTTTACCTTACGCACAATAATCACAAAATCTAAGAAAATAATATTTTTACTTTTAGTAAATTTATATTTCTACTGGCGACTCACCCTGGCTTCGTTCGGGTTTGTCCCTAGGGTATGTATACAACTTCCCTATTTGAATCGGATATTATTAAATTTTTCATTGATTTTTTTTTCGTAGGACCCTATTTTTTTTCTAAAATAAAAGTAGCCTAAGTTACTCCTTACTACACCAGCTATCTGCCAGTGAAAGTCCCGTCAAAATCAGTCCAGCCATTTCAGAGATTAGCCATGACAAACAGACTAAAATTGTAAAAAATGTTGTTTTAGTATATGTACCGTGTACGCATCCATATTGTGCATTTAGTAAAAAGCTGTTACTTTGGCATTACAAACAGACACTTAAATTTTATTTATATGTATAGACTATTATTCATTTTTAAGTTCACACTTTGTACACTTGTAGCTTACATAAATGCTTGGCAGATATCGTATTCTCTTTTAGATTATACGATTGTAGCAACTATATAAATAGATATCTGAAACAAGTTAACATTTTACAATCGTCACCACCAAAAGAAGACTAAAAAATGTACGGTAATGACATATCTAAGCAATATGTCACGTGCTCAGGATATGTCATTCCTATATAGTACTTTTAGTTTTATTATTATTTTTATTAATTATTTTTTTAGAGATTGAAATTCTATATAGACAAGGCTTATCGTAGTTGTTTTTTTTCTATTGCCTTACAGAAATGTGGATGAAATGGCAACAGGTCACGGCGACAACTTGCGATAAGCGGATGCCCCTTAAGTCGAAGGGTAAGATCTATAAATCCGTAATAAGACCTGTCGTTATGTATGGATCGCAATGCTGGGCTACAAAGAAGACTGATGAAAGAAGATTGCATGCTGCAGAGATGAGAATGTTAAGGTGGATGTGTGGAGTGACGAGGATGGATAAAATAAGGAATGAGTACATAAGAGGAAGCTTAAAAGTAGCACCAGTGACAGAGAAGTTGAAAGGGAATCGTCTTAGTTGGTATGGGCATGTGAAGCGGAGGGATGAAACGCATGTGACCAGAAGAGTGATGGAAATGAATGTATATGGATGGAAAGGTAGAAGAAGGCCGACGAAAAGATGGATAGATTGTGTGAGACAAGACATGAAAGAGAAAGGGGTGAATGATGAGATGACGAGTAATTGGGGAGAATGGAAGAGGAAGACTTACTGTGCCGACCCCAAGTGACTTGGGAAATGGGCAGGAAGAAATAGCCTTACAGAAAGCGAGGTACTCGTAGATATTAAAAAATCTGCTATGCTTACATAATTTTTCTGAATATTAAAATATCGTCAACTTGACAGTAAATTTTTATCTATCAATTGCTTAATAGGTACATAAATAAATAAATATGTTGGGACATTAACACACAGCACCATCTAGTTCCATAGTAAGCTACGAGGCTTGTATTATAGATACCAGATGTCACAACACAAATGCCCCCAGCGGGACTCGAACCCGCGACCTCTGGCACAGCAAGTACTGTCTGTACTGTGTGTACTGGGTCACTATAAACTGAGCCAAATGTGTCGTCAAACAAAATACTTTACGAATGCATAATAATAATTAATAGTAAAAATATAATTATTGCTAACTTAAAGTTTGCAATAAATGCCTTTTCTTATAACATATTTGGGAGGTTCATGATTGTGCTCTAAATTGCATCTGACAATTTTAAGATCATACGTAGTCACCAAACGAGCTTTGCACTGACCACTTCTACAGCATCTCCATAAAATCGAAGTGATGTTCTTGGTATTAGTGTAAAACGTGAATCCATTGATAAGCCCCAGCAGCTTGCCTCGTTTATTTTGTACCCAACGAACTAAAAGAAATTCTTTACATTAGTCAATTTTGTAGCTTTTTTAATAATTTGTACAACGTAGATATTTAATACCTATGCCATACTATATAAAATTATTTGATTGGAAAAAATTAAAGTATAATATTTTTTTTCTATTCACAGTATTTATGTCTTTATTCAATACTTTGCCTAAAATCTATGTTCGGAAATTACACAACAATAAAAAATTATTACATAATGTACTGCAAGGTATAGATATTGATACAAAATTATTTATTATTATCCTAGTTACAAATTGTTCATGAAAACTCACAAAATATCAATGTAGCTAACTAACTAATACAATATATAAATAACTAACTTATACAAAACCATAAAATCAAACGGTAATTATACGGTAGATTAACCTTAAATTTGGTCATTTCCAAAATAGCAGACCTCAATCTTTACTAGATCGAGTCATATAAAAAATCACTTGTCAACATTTATAATGAGAAATATTGACTCATATGCTATCTATATCTATCTCTATATTCATATAATAAATTTAACTTAAAAACTATTCAAAAAAGTAACTGTTGAGTTTCTTGCCGGCTCTTCTCAGCAGAACTGCTTTCCGAGCCGGTGCAGTGGTAGCTTCCTCAATCCTCACGGAGTAATTACACTGACGCTTAAATTAAATTGACAATTCAAAAGTGCTTGTAATAAGTCTAATTGAACAAAGTTTTTTTTTTCATTTTCACTGAATTAAATAGTCAAAAATTATATAGCGTAACCAATTATTATAATAATTATATATTTATTTTTTCGTATTTGTAAAACTTATGTTACAGACAATGTATACGTATCTACAAAAGGATGAGACGTTGCAAAACATATCATTATTTAATTTAAAATACAACGCGTATATGTGATAAAAGTTCAATATTTACTCACTTTTATAAAGATAAATACACCTTAAGAATAATGTGATCATCTCCAGGCTATTTCATGTTAAAGAATAATTGAAATTTATAATTTAATGAATAAAAAAAATCCGACCGAGTTTCTTTTGTCTTATCTGGCTGAACTTTTTCTTCCCGAAGTCATAAAGTTTGTTAAACAAGTATAATAACTGTTTTTTTAAACAAACACTTAAAGTTTAAGTAAGATGCCATTTCGTATTATAAATCTCGGTGGCCCGTGGTTATGTTCAGTGACTCCCCGAATATATTGTAAATAGGGGCTTGTAGCAAATCGGGCCTTACAAGGTTTTCCTCTAGTACAACGCCAAGATATTGATAGACTGCTTTTAGATGAACAGTAGTAAGTGAAGCCTTGTATCACTGCCATTGGTTTTCCTAATGTGTTATTCACAAATGTCACTGTAACAACACATATATTATTATATTCGTACACATTTTGATAAAAAAATATTTTTTTGAGATAATCGTAAGTAAAAATGTAAGCAAACATCATGTCATGACTAAATTAATCAAATGACATCTTAGTCGCTAGCATTTTTCTTATTTTACTTAATTTGGAGTCAGAATATCATGCAAAAAAGTTATGTGTAAGTAATTTATTTGTAATGAAATTGTAAGAAAGGCAAAGTAGTATCTATTACATATATCTGAACTTAATTGTAATTATCTAATGAGATAAGTGTAATTTATATTTATCTATTACACCAATCACATTTACATTTTTTATAACATGTAATGTTAATATAACATTCAGAATTATTTCTGGTAACGTCATAACTAATTTTCTTCATCGCAGCCACTTACTCGATCCTTAAGTTTAGGATGCCTTTGCAAAAATAGGTGCAACCACGTTCTTCCTGGTTCATTATTTTTAAATGGGTTTTTTATTTTGGTATCTTTTAGGAATTTAGTCACAACGCTTTGAATACCTTCTCTTCTTTTACATGAACGACTCTTCCAATGTTGAAGAATGAAATTTACTAAGCTTTCCTCTTCCTTCTTACTCAGCAATGTAGGTGCACCTGGCTTTCCATCTTTATCTTGATTTTTGAATCTGACACGTAATGTTGTTCGGGGCACGCGAAATGTCTTGGCTGCTAACTTCATACTCATGCCTCGGTTTAGGGCTTCAACCGGATTATTTGCTTTTCGTGATATTTCTTTTTCGGTTTAATTATTTTCTCCATTTGTATAATCTTTATTGGTGTTATTTTTCCTAAAAAATAGTAACTAGCTATTGGTACTTGAAACAGAAAAACTAACCACGTGATTACCGGCTTTATTATGTGCTAAGTATTGAATGCTACTTATATTTTTAACTAAACAAAAACATATTTGAGAAAGAATTATTATCGTATGAATAAGTAATTAGTGTAAAACGTATATTAAAGAATAAACTATGTATAATATAAAATATTACACAGACTGTATTACTGGAAACCTTCAATGTAAAAATCTATTAAATTAAAAAATATACCTATTAAGTGTATACTGTATAGTCCCAAAATAAAAGCTTGCATCGCACACTATAGTACAAATCACCCGTCTGCTTTTCGAAGAATGTTTTGTATGAAGTATAATATACACAAGATGAAAAGCAACCATGAATACATTGTTGAGTTCCGGTTTGAAGGATAACGTAGCCAGCGCAATTACAGGCAAGAGGCATACCATCTTAGCCCTCACAGTGACAACGCTCTGCATTTTTGTTACATAAAACCTTAGAGCATCAGCCGTAGGTGTTATGGGGGACCCAACGTGCGTTCACCTTGTTGTGGTGGGGGGGCTCAGTAGTGCCCGGCAACCCAACCGGGCGCGAAGCTAAGAAACGCACAGGGCCCACTTTGGTGGGCGGTGGGAGGTGGCCCTCTTCGGGGGGCGGTGTACCATGCGGGTTGCTCCTGGTACTTTTCTGATAGCAGAGTGGACCTTGGAGCAACCCCATGGTTGTGGTGGTCTGCTTCGGCAGACCTGTCGTCGGGGCGTCGTAGTTGAATGCGTAAGCGATCCTGCGACGCCCCATTAAGACGGGGGAAGGTTTTGTTGGGTTTTAGTGGGTAGTACTGGCTGTATTACGCCGGTGAGTCCCACACGTCGTGCGTAAATGCATTTCCCAACGTTAAAAAAAATAAAAAATAAAATTATGTGAGAAAAATTCATGTACAATATGACTTGAGATTATTTATCTAAATTCTACTACATGACCTAAACACCATGTTACTTATTTAAAACTTTGTGAACATACAAACAACAAACAAATAAGCGTACAATTTCTATTTCTATATTAAATTTTATAATACATGCCATTACGTATAACAAACTTTGGTGGTTTGTGGATATGCTCCAAATGTGCAGTAATGAGTTCTCCTTCACAATTCATGATGAATCTCGCTTTACACAAACCCCAACGAGTGCAGCGCCATATAGTTGTCTTGGAACCTCGGGCGCCACAGTAAAAGCTGTGACCACCATATATTGCCAACTCTTTACCACTTTTGTTTCGAACGAAGCACACTGGAAAGTAAGGTTACAATTTAATGCTTGTAAAATTATCATTGATATGAACAGACATCTTAAGAATGACGTTGACTGTGCAACGGATAGTGGCCTTGGATGATGGTTGATTTTAAGTGTATTTGTAGCCCGAGGATAATAGAAAATATAGGTCACATATGTGCGAGTGATATATAGATCGTTTATACGCCTTTCAGTCGAACGATGCGCCAACTTTTCTTATTTCCCCATTTTCACAATGAAAACTATTGCGATCTTAAATATGCTAAAACACAAAATAAAGAGGTTCAGATTTTCCAAAGATCAGTATTTGTTAGAAAAAATAAATATGTGTTTAAAGCTTTTTACTAATGCAAATTACATATTTCGTACAATTATGTTGATATGAAATTCACAAAGTACATTTGACATGCGCATTGAAGACTCAAGTATCACATGTATCGAACGTTATTTAATTAACAAATACTTATAATAATAAAACGATCATCGATACAGTTCCATAAAACAATGAACGTACGCTGATCTTTATAGAACTTCAAATCTTTCTTAAAGAGCATGTTATAAAAACCACATAAATAATAGATAAATTTCATCGAAACTTAATTATTATAAGAAACAATCGTAAAAATTGTTTTTTAAATTTTATAGTATATGCTATCACGTACAATAAATGTGGGTGGTTTGTGAATATGCTCTAAATGTGCAGTAAGGAGTTTTCCTTCATAATTCATGATGAATCTCGCTTTACAAAGACCCCATCGAGTGCAGCGCCAGATGGTATTTTTGTAGCTTCGAGCTCCACAGTAAAATGTATAGCCACCAAATATAGCAAGTTTTGAACCATTTTTATTATGAACGAAGTTAACTGTGGAGGAAAGTAAGAGTTAAATTCCTGCAAAATTTTCATAAGAAACATAATAAAAACCGTTAATTTTCTTTTTTACCTTTATCACTGTGACCGATTAAATCAAGAGGACATCATCATCGGCCGGAGTTAGTTCTGTTTTTTACCGATAGGGAATCTACTCACCGTGAACAGATCGGCAAACATTTTAATACATGACCTTGACTGCCATAAGACTGTACAATTTCATTATGGTTGTATTTACGGTATCTTTTGCGGACCAACGAAGTCGGAAGGGATCTAGAGGTTCGGAAGGGCGATTGTGTAAACGAGTTAGTTAATCGGTTGACCTTTAAGTCAAATAATGCACAAACAGCCCTTCATTACCCCGATTAAGGAACTTTCCGGTCTTCGTAAGCTTCTTAATTCCGGTACCTAATTTATTACACGCAAAGAAATAAGAAATTGAGGTAGTTAGGTGAAGTATAGAAACTAATTATTTTTATTTTATTTATTGATTATGTTTCTCTAAATAAAGCCTGTCCTTAGTAAGATATGTCTGATGAGATCATATATATTGTTAATAATCTTATAACAAGTTAAATATCTCACAATTATTAGTCCAAAATTAATTCGAATTTTCAAGTTTGTTTAATATTCAAATTCTAAGAAATTATAAAATAAAGAAATAGAATACTCGATGTACAGACTTAAACAAGTAAAAATATTTTATCCGAGGCACGGCGGTGCAACACCGCCAATTTTCCAACTCCGGGCTATTACTAAGAATATCTTAACAGAAAACCTCAGTAATCACACTTGGCCCGACCTGGGACTCGAACCCGGGACCTCAGCATCTGCAGCCGTACATCCAAGCCGCTAAACCACCGAGACAGTTTTGCTGTATATTAGTATTACAGTATTTACTAAAAAGACATTTTTCCTTCGAAATGTAAAACACTTTTTTCATTTTATTTACCAAAAAATAATTTAATATAAACGCATTTAAAGTTTCAAATACACTCCATTAATAATCTTGTAGATAGGCCGGGGGTGGGTATGAGTTATATTACAGCGTATCATTTCTTTATTTTTTGTTGTGATGAATCTTGATTTGCATCGAGTTCTAGTGCATTGCCATACATCCGTCTTCTTCCTTCTACCGTCATAATAGAAGCTGTGCCCGTCCAGGAGTGCAGTTTTTTTCCCAGATTTATTGATAAGATATAATACTGCAAATACGTAATATTTTATATAAAATGTCTCAAATGTTATTAAGAGTTTACTAAATTATTATATGCAAATAAATAAAATGTAAATTATTTAAAACACATATTGTTATGAGACCAATAACCTTTGTACTATAAGTCTAGTAAGAAAATACGTAATTGGATAGTAGCCAATGAAAAGAAAGTTCGTACATACACAGACAGACACGCGCGTACGCACACGAACACGCACTCACATGTAAAAAAAAAACAATATATTTCTCTCCATTCCATGTTAAAATGAAATGCAATAATATACAAAGAGTTAGAGTTTCGAGGTAGAAAACTCAAGCGATCCTACAGTGCTTGAATATGACTAAACTAAGGTGCTGCGCTCTTGTAGCTGATGAGTCCTAAATAGGTTTAAGTATAGGTACTGCACACGAAGGAGAGCGTGTAGATTGTGTACCATCGCCTTTTGAGTCGTTGAGTGTTCATACTTTTGTAGAGAAAATACAACCTTTGCAATCATTTCAAATCTCGTTATGATCAAAAGAAAATTGACAATCAGAATTTTTGTCATCTCATTTTCATCCTGTGACCTAAGACAACTTGTGAGGTGGGGATCTTTCGATTTAGTATATTTTATTATTTAAATAGTTTTTGATGTGAAACATCTATTAGCGCAACTTGCCAGTAAAACCGACTCGTAGTGTGATGACTCGCTATGCTTACGCTCTCGACTTCCTTGTGCGCAAATGTGCGTGCAAATACGTATATACCGTAATTATTATTATAAATAAAATAATAAGAAATATAAATTGATTTTATTAACGAAACTCCATTTTTTCTTTATTTTATTTCATATTTTGTTACAGATTTTTTATTAAATATGAATTCTAATATTAAAATTGATGTTTGACATCTGCCGGGCGTCCCATGACGGTCAATTGTTTTATCTTTAATTAATTAATAGTATAATAAATGAAAAGTATGACTTTACTTAAAGGTATATTATTTTGAAAAATTAAAAACATATATTCGTATATATTTCAGCTAACAATATATTATATAAAACATAAAAAATAAATATGGTTCTCCAAAAATTTAAATATAATTTATGTGAAATTAAAGCCTTTCATAGTTTTCACTGCTTAATATTTCTTAATTGATAATGATTTAACCTAATTATAATTTACTAAGACGCTTCGTCGGGTAATATTTTTTTATAAAAAAAACATATTCAAATTAAAAAATAAACATATAACCTCTAATACGCAATGCTCCAATCAGTAAAAAAATTGTTTACATGTAAATTAAAGCTGATGTATCTTTTGGCGGTTTAAAACTGCTTTAGTTTTTACCTGAGTTTGAATTCAATGTAATTGTCGTAAGCCAAAAAGTCATAACAAAGAAGTTTACATTATCAATAAGACGTTTGAGAAAATATAAAAAAAGCCCAAACAAATGCATAGACAAGTTCATAGATTATTATATTTCGTTCCAGTGCTGTCTTCTTTTTATTTTATTAGACTGGACTAATAGAGATTTTTCGTATAGTTAATAGATAAATAAAAACAAATAGAAAAGGTAAAATTCATCAACATTACATTTTTATGTAATGTAACAGTGGCTTTTAACTTAACCAAAAAGTTTTCATAATGACGTCACTCACGATCTAAAAATCTCTTGTATATTTGTTCAAAAACTCACAAGATCTAGCGTAACACAGTAAAGTTACTGGCATACTTAGTGTAAGCCATCGACCGAATTTAAAAAAACAAATTAGAAATAGCCTTTCTTTGCATTTCCTTTTTAGACACTTTTTTGAGGATACCATTATGAATTTCTATACGTGGGGGGTCGTGATTGTGTTCGAGGGAGGTTATTCTTAATAATTCCCCATTATGAGTTGCTTTAAACCTCGCTTTGCAAGGATATCCTTTAGTACATCTCCACATGCTGCAGCTAAACTGTGCTCGGAATCTATCACACGAGTAGTACGTGTAACCTTCAAATACAGCCAGACGTTTCCCATCTTTATTTTCCACGAATATAACTGTAACAAATGATTAATTTAGATTGAGTTGTTCACCAGAAACTTTATTTGTATACCGTTTTGCTTTGACTCTATATTTTCTTTATTAGATTAGTAATGCATACAATTTAAGTTTAAGGTCAGTAATTATAAAAAAAAAAAAAATAAATAAATATTTAATAATTAATACATTTTTGTGTTCAATTCAAAATCCGTTACTTTTTTTATAATTCGGTAGCTTTACCGAACTGGTGTAGTAATTATGTCAATAAAATTCTCACACTAATTCGGAAAGAAACTTATAATTTAAGCGGCAGGATAGATTTTATTCAATAGTAACAAAAAATCATTTCCAAAAACGCTATTGAAATCGGTCCATCGTTTTAGGAGCTATTATGCCAAAAAGAGACTCAGACCACCACAAATATATACTTAGAAACACTGACTCATAAACACACAGATAAACATCGTTTATGTAATTAATTTACCCTTCGTTTCTTGACTGATGATCTTATTAAAAAATTTTGCTACAACAAATTCTTTAAAATAAATTAGAGTCCACAAGAATTCATCTAATTTTTTTCAATAATGGTTATGGTTATCTATGCATTTAACCAAGACTTCGTCGACGGTAGTGAGGGTGGCTCTACAGCCATGGGTTCGCTGAGAACAGCGCCATCTCGCCTTGTTGTTGACCACAGACGCTAAGGAAAACTTATTATACTTATATACTATCGCAGGCCGCCCGCGAGATGTCGTTGTAAAATACACTGGAAAATATTAAATTGTAATTAATACTTTATTAAAATTGATCACAATATTAATAAAGAGGTATTTACTTACATTTCAAAAATTCTTGAGTGAATTAAAGTCTTATACAAATTACCAATGAAAAACTACTTTACTATATTCTATTTATTTCTAGAAAATAAAATGACAATCAATTGTCTAATACAAGCCCTTGAGTAGAATTTGCTTATTACAATTTTTTAAGTTATAATTATATTAAGAAACATAGCTATTATTTATCTTAATATTATATATGCCTAAATCTAACCTCTTTGTAAAATTAGAAAGGTTGTTGGATTCTATCAAAGTAGTTACAATTAAAAACTAAAATTTTAACCTCTAAGCTACTCATACAATAGTATTATATAACAATACATTCTTAAGTATGAATTTTTTTCAATTTCTGAAGTCCAAGACAAAGTTTTCTACAAACGATATTTCTAAGAGAAAGCTGAAAATGTATAGTAATAATATACCCTGACCACGTGACATGATGCTTAGATATGTCATTTTTAGCATTCTATTAGTGATATAGTATGTCACCTTGTCTCGAATCGATACAAATACTCAGTTTGTAGATTACACAATGTTTCTTTCACAATTAATTTACTATAATATTTATCTTTATAGTTAACTAGCAGAACCCGCGGCTTGGCTCGCGCTAATACTACAAAAAAAACTCTAAAAAGATTGGTTTCACACAAATTTTTATCCCCTATTTCGCCCCCTTATGAGATGAATTTCGAAAAATGCTAAAACACGTATTTCTTTAATTGTATTGAAGAGCATTAATACCAAGTTTCAATTGATTCTGATAATAAATATTTTTTATTGGTTGTATTATAACGTGTTTTCCCGTGGGAGTGAGATAATCTCCGGCGATAAAAAGTAAGTTTCTGTCACTCACCAGCCCTCCAACTATCCCCACACAAAAAATTACGCCAATCCGTCACTCCGTTTCGACGTGAAAGACAGACAAACAAACAAACAAACACACTTTCACATTTATAATATTAGTATTGATATTCATTTTGATTAAAATATTGCATTATAACTTAGTTTAATGATTATGGAGTCCAGAAACTTTGACTATGGAATTATTAACTGTCATAAGAGATGCGCGGCATCCTAAATTTTTCTTTGTGCAGCGCCATCTAGTTTTATTATTTGTATTTGTGTAATCCTTCAGAAATCTGTGAACGCCCACCTGTATAACTGGGTGCCCTCGACTGGTCATCCCAAATATCGCTTCAGTTTCTGCAAAAAAAACAAAAATGTTGTATATAAAGCGAAAATAAGTACTAGATGCCACTATATGACAAATCTTAACTAAAGTTTCTTAACTAAGTGGTCTATATTTATCTAGACGACTATTTCATATAATAATTTTACGTAATTTCACAGCGATATCGCTTGCGCTTTAAAAATATTTTATACAATAGAGAAATGAGATATGACGGCATACTTTTTTATCTCAGTTCCCTATAAACTTAGTTAAGTTAGTAAACGAGTAATGAAATAAAAACAATGATAAACTCCATAATTTAATATAAAAGTATATATTTTTATTGAAATAAATATTTTTAGGGACATCACATAGCAATAGCCCGAGGGTTACAGCCCTTGAACATCAATAGACATTATATCAACCCCTTATTATTTTTACCGAAGGCAGGTCAAATGGAAAGTATACTTTTGATAGAAATATAATAGAGGACAGACTTGGTATGTATTTATAAAAATAAAAATACACTTTATTCTGTAGGAAGTTTCATTCATTTCAGTCAATATTTTAAATTCTAATTTATATATAATATAGTTACAAGTAATTGATTCAAGATTTCGCAAATATGTACGTACATAAATCACTTATATATTTTGATATTTAATATATAAGCTTACAAATTCAAGGCACAACCTAAAAATACGAGTAAGTATCTAAACTATTTTCTTTTGGCAAACGACATCGTTAGGTGTATTTTCACAGCCGATTCGCACCGGTATCAAACCGGCGCGAAGGCGCCGGACAATGACTGAGTTTAGTACTCATATACATCGCGTACCCCTTCCCGCACTCATGCACACTACTCAACATTACATGACATTAGGTTATAATATTAGATAATATACATGTATTTTGCTGCCAGCAAGAGTAAAAAGCTTACCGTTTGGGACCGGAAATGATACCAGCAAAAAGTTATAGCCATACCGTAGTGACAATAGTGAGTGCAAAAACGCGTCAACTATTTACGTTTTTGTTACCTTGTCTTCCGGTGCTGTCTTTCGTACTAGCTAGTGAGAAAACTCCCTATTTTGAAACGGCTGCCCTGAATTCCGTGAAACGTTTTTTTTATAAAATGTTTATTTTTAATCCATTCCATTTTAACACATAAAATTTATAACGCATATATACATCAACCAATTTTAATAATAATTCTTCTTCTTAGATGAAAGAAGTCCGCTGCTACATAGTCCTCCCCCAAAGACTTCCAAGAAAGCAAATATTATGTTCATAAAGTACATAAGAATTTCAATGAATTAAAAAACCAAGTGTATATTAAATGCAGATAACAATAATATTTTAAACATTTAATACCAAACAAACTTAACAGTAATTACAAAATTATTTGTGGTTATGCGTAGATAGATGTCTAATAATAACATTGTCTACAGTAGAGATAGAGGCTCGACAACCGTAAGATCTTTTGACGCAGCGCCATCTTATTTTATTGTTTATTTCATAATCCCGGATGAACCTGTGACCATTAAACTCTATGGTGGGATGACCCCGACGTGAAGTTCCGAAAGTGGCTTCTAAGAACAAGTTTAGAATTAACTACAGATTTTATTAAGTTTTAAAAGCTGTTAACCATTACCATAATACCAATAAAACGTCGAATTCTATTTAATAATTTTATTTGCAAGTACATAATTATCTATTAGGCACATGAACATTATAAAACAATATAAAATGTTAAATTTATAGGGAGACAGAGGACAGTTACAGGACAATTAGTTCCGTTTTCTGTTTGTCCTCCTGCAGGAGACTTGATCCTGGGAGGAACAAAGTTTTAATCCTATATTCCTCCTCATAAATCCATGTAACCATTCAATTCCAGCTGCTTCATTTTTGGTCCAAGATTGAGGTACTTTTTTATTAATAGTAGTAGAAAATCTAAAGGCTAATTGCCTTATTTGTTTCCCTGTCAGCTCATGATGTAGTTTGCTAGCTTTGACTAGGTATTTTTTTAGTGAATCTTCCTCTGTGTCATTAAATACTTTTCTCTTCGTATAATCGGAAGTATATGAAATATCCGAACAGGTTAAATTCGCTTTCTTAGCTCTGACATATCGTTTTAGAGTCATAACATTTAATCCATACAGTTTTGCCGCCCCTTTTAAAGAAGAGTTTTCATTGATAACGCAAGCAACAGCTTTTTTTAAACTTTCGCTATTAACGGGAGTTCTCTTTTTTTTAATTGTAGATCCTTTTTTATAACGCCTTGGCTTTTCTGTAAAACAAAAAAAAATCATATTAAAGAACACTTGATCACGGATTAAGTCTTTTTGATTCGTGAGAATCTAGTATAGAAGACTCTATCACTTCATAAAAACAATGTAAATACTTACCTTATTCAAAAAAGTTAGCAACTTTTTTAAACTACAATCCAAAAATAATAAACAGAAATTAATTGAAAATGACACCCATATATCTATCTGGAGTCTGGAAATACATTTTGATCGAAACTCTTAAATTATTTTTGTGATAAATAATAAAAAAATATATAATGCAAATCCTGAATGACGCAACAGTTGAAAGGATTAAATTTATCATATATCGATGTGAATAGTCACTAAGAAATTTTGTAAAAATTAGAAAGACCCAAAACGGCTGAAACAGTATCGCAAGATTTTAATAAAAACAATGTTTTCCTAACAAAGTTTACTTGATTGAAATTGGGACAACTTTTAATAAACTTGAAAATTATTTTTATCTTAGAGACCTTAAGAAATACACACAAGTAAAGAATAAGTCAGTAGTTATCTTATGCGTTTGCATAATTTATTAATAATTATATATTATATTTCCCGTCAGAATCTTTGTTTCGGTGGGGGATGGCTGTACTCTGCATTGAAAGTGAATACTGCTAGGTTGTCAGATGTGACAACCGATGCTTTACAGCCCCGGTGATACATTGTACAGTACCATCTCAAGTCATAATTTCTGGAACTCATTTGACGATTGTATGGAAACCCCTTTACTTTTAAAAAAAATGATTTCCTAACATTAGGATAATTTCACCTGTATACATTTTATTATATGAATAAAAAAAATCAATTAAAATTAGTATGTAATGTAGAAACATTATTCGTTATTTTTAACCCCCGATGCAAAAGAGGGGTGTTATAATTTAACCACGTGTATATATGTGTGTGTCTGTCTGGCATCGTAGCGCCCAAACGGATGAACCGATTTTATTTTCTTTTTTTGTCTGAAAGGCGACTTAATCGAGAGTTTTCTTAGCTATAAATCAAGAAAATCCGTTCAGCCCTTTGATAACTATTTTTTCTAGACGGTAAAAGGATATAAGGAAGTTACACAGATCTAATCCATTTGAAACTTGGTATCCCGTTACCATTATAGCAGATAACCCTAACCATGTATTTACATGGCTACGTTAAAGTAATATCTACTTATATTTATGGCAATTCTTTAAACTTCGCCGGTAATTAAAACTGGAGGAACTCGACCACGTTTACACTATACTTATGTGAGAATATTGAAGGATTAGATGGCGCGGTTATTCTGTTAGACGTCAGTCCGATTGAGAATGCCTATAAACGATTTAACTTATGACTGCTTGCTTAGTGTTAAGGTTACGAGACCGAGTCCCTTTGGTAAGCATACTAAATTTGTACAATGTAAGAATTCATCGCCGAAGCTAACTTGACGCGCTACGGTAGCACATCGTGAAAAATCAACTACAACACACCTACGCATGTTACACGGAAGAGAATTCTAAAAATTGCTCTGGTTTCCAAACGGCGAACATTTACCACGCACAAATTAGAATATGTGAAAATTCAATAAATTAACAAAAAACAAAATGGGACACAAAATAATATGACCGGTTTCTATTCTAACATTAAACAATTTATTGTTCCTTCGTTCTTAAAAAACCATGAGTCTAATTCTAATTAATTAATAAAAAAATAATCATAACAACCTAATCACATTTAAATAACGAAAATAATTACAAACAATTTACAAACACAAGGCTCCAGAGATTGTTCGGTAAACTGCAATCGTATCACTGGTATGCACTGTACCCACTAGCCTAGTACTTGAGATGGCTCTGGGCAGCCGTCGCCGCCGCTGCTTTCTGCGCTTGCGCCTCTTTCTCTTGTTCAATTAACTCCTTTATCGCTTGTATTTCTTTCTTTAATTTCATCTTTCAACTTTGGAACCAAATTTTGATTTGTCGTTCCGTGAGACAGAGAGCATGCCCCATCTCGATACGTCTCCTCCGCCTGAGTTGGTGATTCGTGTGGAACTCCTTCTCTAACACTAACGTTTGATATCTAGTATATGTTTCTCTCCCCCGTCTTCTTAGCAAATGCTAAGAAGACGGGGATCACATGCATACTGAAATAGATACAATTTTAGTGGATTAATCAAAAATAATGAGATGTAGAAAACAATTCACTTACCATTCATAGGATTTGTTCTAGTTCTGTCTGCTTGTTTGAGAGGTAAGCAAATAAGACAGTCATTTTTATTGCAATGTTTCCAATGATTTATGATTTGTCTTGATGATGAACAATAAGATACGCCACAATTTATTCCCGCCTAAAAAATAATTTTATTTAGTTTCACATATTTATACTCAAATCCAGAAAATATTATTACAAATAAACAAAGCAGTAGAGTGGTACCTGACATGACATCATATGATTGAGTACGCTCTTCATGGTCTTGCAGTGCGGGAGCATGCACTGCCACGTCTCGCCGTTGGACTGGCTCCCGCAGCGCAGGCACTTGTGCGCGTGCAGCAGCAGCACCAGTTGCTGCTGGATCAGCTTGCTCTTCTCGGGGTCGCCGACTGCGTCGCCGCTTGCGATTGCGACTGTGGTACGTACTAGTGTTAGTGAGTATATTATTATTGGGTAAGAACATTTGGCTTCAAACAAAATGAATAAAATGCGCGCGCGCATCCGCAGTTATACTTATTTGCCACACAGATATCGAATTAAATTAACCAGTGAAGATTCAGTGTTTATATTTGCTCGAGTAAAAATAGAATAATTTTATATAAATACTAAGATTGAGTAAAGAAATAAAGACTACGTAAGAACATAAACCAAACTGTCCAATCTGTTTTTATTAACATAAAAGTCCTAACCATATTATTTCATTGATTCTTAATATATATATTTGCACGCATGCTGAGCTCTATTATTTTATGGTTTCAAAAATACTTCGAAACTTGCGTAACGGGTTGGAAACCAATAAGGAGACTTTTATAAAATAATGATTTATAATTACTTCTGACCTTTAGCGTTCAAGTACTTATTGCGTGTAGGTGGTTATTGTTCCATTCTCGGTCAAAGGTTATTTACAATTCGCCTTACAAGTTAACTTTTAATTATATACACTTTAATTACAACATATCATGAGTACTAACTTTTTAACACGCTTTTATTAGATAAAACTATCTTTTCGGATTTTTTCAAGGATTTATTTTGGTTTTTGGTTCCTGACGTTTGGCATGTTTTACAGCAATCATGGTCACGGGAGAGACTAATGTTTAAGATGTCCCACAAAATAACAAAATGAATTCAAAAAAAAGAAAAATCCGAAAAGATGGTTTTATTTAAAATGTCAAATATTCGCGTAAATTTAAGAAAGTATTGCGCTTTTATTTGCTTCTTCTGTATCTGTATATCTATGTAACGTTTGAACATATATGATGAACCGAACTAAAAAGTAAAAAATAATTTTCAGTATAAGAGTAAAGTGATTAACGAGAAAATTAATGTTATTGTGAAAAAAGCGTGGGGTGCTCGATATCAGTTGTTGTAAATATTCCATAGGTACGATTTCTAAAAGTAGTATAAAAATATTGTACAAAACACCCCACGCTTTTAATTACATATATAATTTTATATTATAACATATCGTGAGTATTAACTTTTTTATACTAGTATATTTAAATCTATACGGGGACTTAAATAATTTAAATTATACCAAGTAAATGAAATACACACAATGAATACTGTTCGCAATGAATACTGATATTGCCTTAAGGCAATGTCAATGTAGAACAGTAATAAAGTAACCTCAACAGATTAAATGTAATCGGGAAAGGAAGGGTTTACGCGGAAATTAAAGTTTTATGGGAACGTGTTAATTGATTCAAAATTTTACAGCTTAATGCAGTAGTCAGTCGAAAGTGACATAGGCTACATTTTTTCCTTTAAAAAGAAAAGACTACTAATACAACGTGGCAATTGACAAAAAAATATTGAAGATTGGTGGTCTGAATAAACATTATTAACAACAATGAAATGTTCCTCCTGCTACCTTATAAAGCTTTGGCGGAGGATGGTTGTGCTGCGCTATGAAATCAACTACTTTGAAGTTATCCGTCGTAATGATACATGCTTTACATCCTCTGTGATACCGAGAACAATACCATCTCCAGTTATTATTCTTGGCCGTTACTTGACGGTTGTACGTGAAATTGTTAACTTTTAATAACTTCTTTCCTTTTGTCGTGTTTATTACCTCACCTATAAATAATAAATAAGAATATTACATATATATAATAAGAATATTTACAACGAAATTTAGGTTACAAGAAAACATTCTGATGCATGTAATAAAAGTTTAATGTATTATAAAGATAAAATATACGGATCCACTTGATCCCTCAACTCGACGATCCTCCCTGAAGATGAACTGATAATCTGGTCACCTAGCAGAAATCTCCCGGATGCCTTTGTCCAGCAAGAGACTTCTTTCGGCTTAGATAATATTATATTAGGCTTTAAAATTATAGCCTCCTAGCTACTCACCCTCGCTTCGCTCGGGTTCGTTCCTAGCTTGCTTCCCAATACAAACTTTCACCCCTATTTTTACTCCCTTAAGGGATGATTTGTGGGTTAAAAAAGTAGCCTATGTCCTTCCCAGAGTCTCAAACTATCTTCTTACCAAATTTCATCCAAATCGGTTTAGTAGATCCAGAGACTACCCCTACAACATTACAAACTCACAATATCACAAACTCACAAACTTTACCTCTTTTTAATATTAGTATAGATAACTTTATGAACAGTCACATTGGATAAAACATAATAAAACCAACAAACACTTTGCATGACACAAGTATGGTTGTAACTTTAATGTTGTCATCATATGGTAAGAAAGGTTAAGGTATATTTTTTGATAAAACACTCAAATATTTTGGACAGCGTTGAGAAGAAATAAACACAAAAATTTACGCTTCATTTTTTGCAAATTAGAGTTATTATTATTATAAGCCTATAGTGTCCCACTGCAGGCAAAGGCCTTCCTACTCTTCTTCCACTGCTCCCTATCTTTCGATTCTTTATATTAGTGATTATAAAAAAAATTAAAACTTAAATAATATAATTAGGCAGTAAAAAAATCTTTTGCAAGAATAAATCTTTATTTATTTGTCTTGACATTTTTTTAATACCAACTAGTTAAGATAAATATAACCACCTTGTGATTTATACAGATTCGGTAAACTATGCATATGTTCACCTGTTATATCTACGACCCTCAAATCATGGGTAGTGACAACGCAGACCTTACATCCATGATGATATTTCGAACAGTACCACCTCAAGCAGTTATTTTTGGATTGCTTTGGTCGGTTATACACGTGATCGCCAATTTTTAATATTTTCGTACCCCTTATAGATTTAATTATTTCACCTGTGAATTTTAAGTATTTTTGTTAATTTATACCAGAATATACATGTATATTTTACAAAATATATAGATTATTAATTTTATTACTTTAGTAGAGAGTGCGAATAAAAAAATCTTGTAAAAAGTTTTATTTTTAATATTTTCTACCTATTATCTTATTTCTATACAAACATAAGTAACTATTATGTTTTCAGATAATATTGTTCCAATATTATTATCGCTTTGAAAATTAAATTAAACAAATCATATTAGTAAGAGTTAGACTGTTAAGAGTAGTCTTTACAAGTGCATGTTTAGCGATAAGGTCGCCTTCTTTACACGCCGATGATCGAACTACTTATGAACGATTTTTCGTATATATTTATTTTCTTTTAAGGATACAAAAAAGATAAATAATAAAATTAAAATTTCTTGTATGTAATTTATAGTAGGTACCGTTTAAGTATGTTATATTGTTTTTTTTGCACCAACCTTTATCCATGCTACCCTACGAGTTCCTTTATAATATAGGTTACCTGGAAGAGATCACTTAAAGTGATAAGGCCGCCTTTACACTGAAATATATATATATATATATATATATTGTAAAGTGATGTATTTTGTTTTAAAATTGTTTTTTTTGGTGTAATAGAGGATTAAATAAATATATAAATAAAACTAAAAATTTATTCGTAACTTAACCTAATATAACTTCCACTAGACGTTTGTACAAGTTTTGTTGGAGGATGATCGTGAGTTCCCGTCATAGCTAAAAGTTCTGAAGCATGGCTAATGTGAACTTTCGTCTTGCATCCCCTGTGGTACTTAGTGCAGTGCCAAATGGTACCAGATTTCGAATTGCGTTGATATCTGAATATGTACTCGTTGAAATAGACAGCCTTTTTATTCCCTAGAGTGATGATCTGAACTGCTGAAACATAGCATGTATTAGATAGGGGAGAGAAGGGTAATCACGGACGGTGGGTAATGGCGGACACGCCAGTTTAGCTATGTTAGAAAGAGAAACGAAATATTTTGAATGACGTGATAGTGAGTCGGGTCCGCCACTAGTACCAAACTGTGAGAGCTGACGTGAAAGCGCACTCACTGTACAAGGTAAGTTAACTTGATGATTTTTCAACAATTTCATATTATTTTTTGCTTTTAATTAAGTATATGTGTATTTAATAATTAAAAAATAAATACAAAAATCTGTATTTTTTTTTGTGAAAAAACATCGAATTAAACAATGTTTTAAAAAATCCGCAAAGTGCGTTGCGTGATTCTAAACTTAAAAAAAAGATTTATTTTGCATTTCTTTGAGAGTCGGGTCATGACGAACGATTTGAGTGGGGTAAACGTGAATGTCCGTAATTACCCCTAAGCAATAAATTTATTGGATGCTAGGTTTTTATTTTGCAATTACTTTTTATTTTATAATTATTACAACTAATAAATTTTTCGAGGCGTCTATTTTTACAAAAAAGCGTATGAAAATGTAAGTTAATAAATATTGAAATAATTATGAATGAATTTCTCAGATACCAAGAAATTACCAAAGAAAAACCGAGATTAAGTATAAATTAGAAGATTTGGAGCGAGCTTTTCAAGCCGTCAATAGTAAAACACTGACACTGGGAAAAGCAGCTTCTATTTATTCCGTCCCAAAAATCACAATATATGACTATCTCAAGAAAGATGCAATTAAAACTCCAAATACAGGAAGAAAAGATATATTTTCTGAAGAACAAGAAAAAGAATTAGTAAAAACAAAAAATTAGAAAAAAAGAATTAGAAAGAACAATTAAAAGAAGAAAAAAACTTATAAAAGTGCTTCGAAGGATAATCAAGATTATTATTGTGTGATTTGCGATAAAAAATATGTGGAGCCGATCACTGAAGATTGGATTTCATGTTACTAATGCAAATTATGGGCACATGAGAAGTGCACGGGTGGAGGAAGTACTTCAAAGGGCTTCTAGTGTGACTTTTGTATTAATTAGAGTGTTTTCGTGATTACCCCACTTACCATCCGCAATTACCCCACATGCTGTGGGGTAATCCCGGAATCTAATAATTTTGTTTTTTTTATAAAAATACGATTTTATTCTAAAATTTATCTTTTTTGACTATGAGAATAAAATATTGATTAGTTGTAGTATAAGCTAAATAATAAATAGCTTTTGTAAATGTATTCAGTTTCGTGTTATTCCACTTTTCCCTTGGTGTTCGTAATTACCCCACTCTCCCCTATATTTGTAATGTATAGACAAAGATTTGTGGAATGGTTTTGCAGTGAGAATCAATGTATGAGTAAAAAAGGCTTAGCCAATTTTTGTTAGGTACTTTTAACGAACTATTATTAACAATTTGGATTTATAATACTTTCTTAGATTTACGCGAATGTTTGACATTATTTTTTTTATTTGTTTTTTTATAATTATTACAATTTTAAAATATTAATTAGTAATCTATATTTAGTGTTGCCATTATTATATTTATAACCATAAAGAAAAATATAAAATATAGTATTAATTATATATTTAAGCCATATAATTGTTCTATGTGTAATTTAAAAAAGTTAAAATTAATTAAGGATAATAATTTTAATTTTTTTTTGTTATAATTATAAAAATAATAGCAAAAATTAAATAAATAATTTTCCATATTCAATTATAATTAAAATTATAAAAATGTTTTAAAGTTAAAAATATTGTAATGTAATTGGTGCATTTTTCATTTTGTTAATTGTGGGTAGGCTGTCTGTAACAACTATACATTCAAGACATGTAACACCTCAGTCTCTTCCGTGACCATGGATGCTGTAAAGCATTCGAAACGTCGGGAACCAAAAATCAAAACAAATCCGCGAAATAATCCGAAAAGATAGTTTTATTTAATAATTTGGATTTATTTCTTGAGTTTCTAAAATGCATCAACATATAACAATGAAGGAAAGAAATTTAAGTATGTTTGAAATAGTTATAAACTGTTCTCAAATGAAAACATTGTTCAAGAAAAACAAATGGTCAATATTAAACATAATTTTAATAAAACAACGCACGTTACATTGCTGTGTTTATAATATTAGTCAATTTTTATCTACTTAAAAAATTTAAACATTCAGAATAAAGATGACAATAGTGCGACGTAGATTCACGTTTTGTGATTATAATTGAATGAGATAATAAATGAATTCTATGATCGATAGGAGAAAACGGGGTATATCGTGTGATTTATTAAATGGTTCTAAAACCAATTTCATGGGGCTTAATCATGATATCATTTTTAATCTAAAATCAATGAAGAATGACATATTATAATTATATAACATAATGATTTAATATGTTATTACAATTAAATATTCAAAATTTCTATGTACCAACAATTGTCACAACATCTTGTCTACACCTCTTTTTTTTGTCAATGAAATCAATTTTAACTGACGACTTCTTCTTTATTAGGCAAGGTTTTATATTTCACACTTGTTTTACTTTAAAACTTTAAATTATTAAAAAAAATATGAACAAGCAAAGCGTTTTCATTAATAATTTATCTTCGAGTCATCCTTAAGTCTAACACATAATACTATAAACATGATTTAAAACAAAGTAATACTTTTTCATAGATATAAAATTTTAATTTACCAACATTTTTGAATTTTTGGTCATTTTTCGAAAACCGTAACACCGATTCGAACATTAATAGAAGCTCCTTTGGTAACATTATTAAATATGTTATGATTAAATATTATAAAAATATGAACAAAACTCTTGTGGAATGTTTAAGACTTACATTAATAAAAATTACGTTATATTGTATAAAAATATATTAGGTTTATAAAGTTCTAAGTCGCTACAGTACTGAAGATCGTAATATTGAGATTTCAGTCCAATATTCACTTGCCATATTCCGCATATGACAAAAATATAGATTAAATAAAGGCTAAATCATCTAAGAGAACTCAGACTACGAAATTGGAAAGAATGCGGAAATGAAGTAACTCTGACTCTAAATATTTCTTATTTTATGTGCGTTTCATACCTCCACCATTATGTAAAAATTATATACATAATATAATATTTAAATTATTCATAAATTGCTTATGACAAATCAGTTAGATATTTAATTTAGTTGTGATTTGCTTAACTTTGCTAAAATTGGACTTAACGAAAGCTATATTTACAAGTTTTAGTTAAATAGTTTTGTCCGAAAGCTCATACATAAATTATTATGATAAATGTTTATAAATAGAAATTAATATTCCCAAGGAGGGTTGACGTCAGGCAGGCGGCCGGTCGTAAAACTTTTGCCAAATCCTTTCAGCAGTACAGAAGATGCACTGCGCCAATCCCAAGTGATTGGGAAATGGGCAGGGAGAAGAAGAAGAAAAAATAGAAATTAATACTTTGAACACGAAATCCATAGAGTGTACGAGCAAAACAACTAGTGATTTTACTATGTATTTGTATTAACGATAGAGCAATGTATTATGATTGGTCCAGCTTTAAGCTCTTTCCATAGTCGTACTGGCTCCTTTACTCAATAGAATACTTTTGTCTGACATAGAGTCAATTTAATAATTTTCCTAATATCTCACTAAATATACCAATAAACTCTCATACCAATTGATAAAAACTTTTTAAGTTTCCAATAATATAGAAATTGCCCTATCAACAGTACCAATATTTAATAACTATAAAACATTAAGTATGAGAATGGAGGCCAGTAGTGGATATGACTACACCATCTATTGTCACTGCTGACGCTTTACACTTCAATTTGTGTTTTTTAGCACACGTCCATCTAATCCTATTCCCGAGGAGAGACCTAGAATGCCTGAAGAACTTGTGGCCTCCGATGTAAATGTTTGTTGATTCTCTTTCTCTACAAAATCGAGCACTGAGTATTGCTTGTACTATATCTGGAAAAGAAAACAAAATCTTAGAAAAGTTTCAATGTAAGGAATGTCTTTTATAAGTATTGGTATCTATACTTTATGCTAATTAAGGGATACAAGAAAAAAAAACATATTTTTTATTATATATTTTGAAGAATAATGTTAAAAATCAAATCAATTTTTATTCCAGATAAAAGAAGATAGAAGTAGTAACACTGAAAGTTTAAGCTACCATTGGAGCGAGGAGATACATACATATATGGAGTATGCAATCCTACCTGAAAGGTATAGGAGCAAACAGGTTTTGGAGCCGATGAAGAGGATTAGAATGATTCAGGATGTGAAAGAGGAACTTAAAGACGCTTACAAATCATATCCTTATCTTACGGCGAAGGCGGTCTAAGATTAATTTTAGACCAAAAAATTGCTATACAGTCATTATAATTTAAATTATAAAATATCAAGTTGATAGAGTTCAATTGAAAAAATTACGAAAAAATATATTTATTATTATAAAATAAATAATGATAAATTAAACACTGAATGATCTGGAATAGTTAAGGTAATAACAAATAAAAATTGAAGAACTGTATAAATCTTATTTTATTAAGAATACTTTTTTTTAATTTTAGAAATAAACATTAATTATATATTATAAAAATATAAATAAAAGTTAAAAACGCCGAAGAGAAAAGAGCCGTCGAGTCTTTTGGCGCGCGGGAGAACTGTGCGGCGATGTACATAGTTAATACACTGGCTGTAACTATAGCAAGTAGTGTCGGAAAAAAGTCTTATTACAATTTTTTCGGTCTCGCTCCCGTCCGTTCAGAGCGTGTAACGCGCGATATAATACATTTGTAACTTTTTGTGAAATATACTGTCTATGAAAAATTCTTGCGTAGCTGAAGTAGATATAGTTATCCATTTAAAATTAACATCCACACATTTAACTAAACTCATAAGAAAACGAAGACCGAGAGACAATTTGACTTCTACTATTATAACAAATCTGTACAGATAAATTAAATTGAACTGTCTGTTTGTAATGTCAAAATAACAGCTTTTTAATAAATGCATATGGAATTATATACGGTACAGTAAAAAAACATAATTTTTAACATTTTTGTCTGTCTGTTTATCTGTTTATTCCGGCTAATCTCCGGAACGGATGGATAGATTTTGACGGAATTTTCAATGGCAGATTGATGTTATAAGAAATAACTTTGGGTATTTTTGTTTTAGAAAAAGAATTAGGATTCCGCTCAAAAAAAAGTAGAACGTACCTAGACGCACCCGAGTGAAGCGAGAGTAAGTCAGTCGTTATAAATAACATTATAATGAATAGATTTAGCCTATTAAAACGAATTTTCCAGTAGGCGTAACATGGTATTTTGGTGGCTCGTGTGTATGATTTTCTTGTAAAAATCTCAGTTTTCCTTGACTATTAGTGCGGGCCTTGGCTTGACAGCTCTTGCTTTTTTTCCTGGTACAGTACCAGAACATAGGGCTGTATTCGGAGAAAGTGAATCCGTTGATCATGAGCAAACCTTTTTTAGATCGACTCGGGACCATGATCACTAAAAAGCAAGATTTTTTAAGGTAGTTAGAATGATGTTAATAAAGAAATTATAAATCAATAAATCTCCATGAAATCTTTGTTCTTCTTATTTACGAAAATATTACATATACATACTTATTTTAACTAGAAAGACTGACCTGACTGTCTTGTCTAGGTGACAACTAGAAAAAGTTCCTTCTTCTATTATTGCTTTGACTTTTTCATATTAATAAAAATTGAGTACCTATACACCCACTTTTATTTTATTTATTTAAACGTTTTCTACTATAAGTGGTTTATGATAACAGCTAAATTATATGAGTTTAGCAGAATGTTAGGATTTAGAATTTATAGGTACCTACACCTTGAGTGAAAGCTAAATTTTAACAGTGGACTAAAAATTGCCTATAGCCGTTATGTATAATCATCATCTCCAACTACCAAGTGGCCATAATGTCACTGTGGCAATGTATTTAGCTGTTATATGTTCTTGACGGATAGACTACGGAGTTAACAAAGTTAATGGCTTAAATCTCATGTATTCGAAATCGATAGCTAATTATTTTTATAGTACAATACAAACATACATATAATAAAATTATTAAAACTCTTGTCAGTTTTGGTTATGAAATAATAATAATCACTGTAATTGAAAATATAAACATATTTATTTATATAAGTATGGATTTTTTTTTATATATTACATAATTTAGCATTTGTCTTAAGCAAACAAAACTCAAAAAAGCCATCTTCTCAGCTCTCGTTTCCTAAATATGTCCACGTTATATTTGTAAAAATTTAAATTGCACTTGAACAAAGCAAAGAAACTTTGTATCGCATTCTTAATTTATAAAATACTTCTTGTTGCTTCTCTATAGAAACTTTCATGATTTCCGGTATGTAAACTATTTTATGTCCTTTCCAGGGTCTTAAATTATCTCCTTACTAAATTTCATCTAAATCGGTTCAGTAGTTTCGGAGCCTATTCGGTACAAACAAACAAAAAAATCTTTCCTCTTTATAATATAAGTCCACCTTTGCCCACATTGGTCTCTGTATTATCTTTGTTACATTGTTAGTATGCAATAAAGAATATAATATTAGTATAGATAACCTCTTTGTCATTTTTTTAACTTAAAAACTTTGTATAAGTCTCCTGGTCACAAGCTACGCAACTTATCATAAAAAAGTGCAGAAATATCAAAAATTACAGTTGGTATATATAAGTTGGTGTATATAAGTTAGTAACAGATTTTATATATGTATGTATATTAAATTATACAAATTCTACTACAAAATATTAATTGCACACTGTTACTTACTCAATATGTACAACTATTTGATAAATTAAATATATCGATCTAAAGTAAGTCGTAAGTAATATAAGACTAGAATAAAAGAGCCTTTATTAGAGGGCAAAAATTTTTTACTTGCAGTGATTTCACCCGAAGGCTATTGTTTTTTTCGTTTTTGTAAGCTAACACTTAATTTTTATACGTAGCCTTTTATTTTATACTAGCAGTACACGCGGCTTCGCTCGCATTCAAATTTCCGACCGCTACCAAACTTCACAGGATCACCCGCTGAACCGAACGCATGTATGTGCCTTTCATTCTACTACAAAGAAACTGAGCATTTTTTGTTTTTTTTTTAATATTATAATAATGAATGATCGTGATGATTGAAAACTTTAACAATATGATCATTTAGAGTCCAAACTCTGCTTTTGCATCCAATATTCCTTTTAGTACATCTCCATGATATCCTCTGTCCGCTACAGTTCTGTTTATTGTAACGCTCTCCATCTATAATAAGTACGCGTCCACCGACTTTTGTTACCTCGAAATGTACTGAAAATAATTTCATTTTTATTATAATGAAAACTAAATAAATGTTTTAGATTTAGAATAAGCATCATCAATAATAAACAAAATAAAAAAATACCTGTTTAACGCCTGCCTCTTCTTTTGTGAGGTAAATTGAAAAAAAGCTCCAGTTCATATAGCATATTAAAACTAATTCATTCTTTATAAAATTATATATGTTGGGACATTAACACACAGCACCATCTAGTTCCATGGTAAGCTACGAGTCTTGTGTGATAGACACTAGATAGTTGATACACTACACATATAACTTTAAATACATACATATTATAAATATAAACACCCATGACTGGAGTACAAACATTCGTGCATCTTTACAAAAATGAATACCCCCAGCGGGACTCGAACCCGCGACTGCTGGCACAGCAAGTAGGTTCACTACAAACTAAGCCAAACGTCAAATATGCATATGCAACTAAAAATGATAAATCAATATTTCAGAGTCATTTTTGATAGCACTTGAACTTGGTTAGTTACACTTTATAACTTATTGGACAACCTTAAAAACATGTATTACAATTTCACTTATATATTTACATAAATATAGGCAAAGACAAAACAATTCAGAGCTTTTTTCTCATCTGTTTGTCAACTTTCTTTTTTTTTGTTTAGTAGCTATTGACGAGCTTTAGTGTTATCAATAAAAACTTTTTAGAAGCAGTTTTTTTATATTATGATTAATTATCGATTGTTGTCGAATTTCGCACACAAAGAAATAAAAAGGCATGATTATTGAACACTTATAAAATTTATATTCATTTCTACAATAATATTATGACTTTATATTTATAATGATAGTGCTTTAACGAGATACTATCTGACTATAAGATAATACATTTCTTAGAGAAATTAACCAGAATTTCATTGCACGGTAATCGTCTTTAATGTTAGCTTATAAAATTAATTTGCGTTGTTAAATCTAAAGGATTTAGTTATAATATATTTATCGACTAACAAAAGGCCAAAGTTCGAAAATGGTAAATAAATTAAACATCAATTAAAAAGTAAAAGTAAGACCTTTTCTAATATAATACAATAATTATCATCATCATGAAATTCTTGCCGAAAACTGTTAATTAAAATGAGCTAAAATTGTATTTTGTTTTAAAGAAATATTTTGAAATTATAAACGTTAATTAAGGGGAAATAATAAAATTTTAAGTTAAATAAACAAGTCAACTGTTTCTCCCATTCATTACATTCAGTTCTTTAAATTAGTCAGCGGTTAAAAATATAGTATGCTGTGTATTAATCAATGCATATGATCATCTCTTATCTTAACTATTTCATCATCGAATGTCCAAACTGTACTTTTACAGCCCAAATTACGTTTGATGCATCTCCACGACACCTTGCCGCCATTACAACTTTGCTTGTTAAAACGTTCACCGTTCACGACCAACACTCGGCTTCCACCTTTTGTAAAATCGAAATAAACTGAAAAGTTAATTTTATATGATATTATTTAAATTTCTGAATAAAATATCACTTTAAATTTCAGATTCATACATAAATTATTAAAAATTCTATACAGAATATATATACACTATATTGCTATTATTTATTTTAAAAATAGGTAAATAAATAGGTATTAAAATGAAAAATTTGCAGTACATTATATATCTATATGTATTTAAATCACAGTGTTTAACCAACCATTCTACTCCAGGTTTTCTTGATTTTACGTAACGTCTAACTGTAGACTTATTACACAACTCAAAACCGGTTATACTCGTAATAGATTGATTTAAATTGAAATTACGTACATCTTATTTATTTTTGACTCACAAGCCATTTAATATTTCAAATAGTTGTATTAAATGTAACAAAAACAAACCATCGTACGATCATTTAACCACACATACATTACATATATTATTTTTGTAATTAATGATTATGAAACTGACTAAAGTGTATGATGGAGGTTCCTTCTGTCCAAATTCTACTTCTGCAGCCCATGTTCTTTTTAGTGCATCGCCAAAGCATCCGACGTCCAACACTATTCTGACGGTTGTACCTTTGTCCATTGACAACAAGTACTACTGTACCGAATTTGGAAGTTTCAAATGATACTGAAAATGATTAGATCGATCAAAATGATAGATCAGATATTTTCAAAGTCGGTGCCAACGCACCGACTTCGAAAATATCCGATTAGGTATCTATAGTAAATGAAAACTACCAATCAGTTTTTACTTTTTAGTGTTTTTTTTTAGTTTTAGTAAATATTTTATCGCGCGTAGGCAAAATGTAAAAATGGTCTGTTATAATCAGACATTACACACTTTAGTTTTGTGAACTGTGGACGTACTTGTAAGTACCCTGAAAATTTAAAATTAGGGTTCCGAAAAAATACCCGAAATACAATAAATTAATTTATAACATAAACATTTATTTATTAAACGATAAATGACACTAATTTAACATATGACTATAGAAAATTAATTTTTACATACACATTACATATTATTTTGTTGTCAATTAATATAGAACTTACTAATATAAAAAATAGGGCATAAAAGTTTATTTCAAAGAATAATTAATTACAACACTCAGACTAAACAAATATACAGACGGAATCCACCAAAATAAATGCCAAAGTCAAAAATAGTATCGTGATTTGCTGTTTTTGCTACTGTAATTCTTGATTTTGCTATACATCTGTATATTTTCTTTAAGAAAATTTTATATATGTAGGTATGTATTAGTTAAGTTAATATACAATTTAAGGGAATAAAATATGAATAATAAAAATAATACTAGGTATATTCTTCTGTATTTTTAAGCATTAGTTCCCTTTCCCTTGAAAGAGAGATAACATAATATTAACTTATTTCATTTGTTTCTTTATTATAATAAAATCCGTTAGCTATTTTTATTTAATAACATTTATTCACTTATCACTCAGTAAATCAGTATACAAATTGTCATTTGTATACTATTTTAAGATATCATTGTTTGGCTTCGTATTTTGTTCTATAACACTCTGTCTATTAATCATTAGTCTGAGTTACAACATTATTACTACAGTAACATAATATCTTAGACGCACTGTATGTAATGGAGACCGTGGGTTCGAATTCCACGCAAAGCAAAAATTGTTAGTGACCATAAAAACATTCCTGGATATACTCTAGCACCAACAACTAAAACATTTTACCTACCAGTAAAGAAACGGGACATGAATTTTCGTACATTTTAAGCTGCCGAATAGATAGATAGATGCCAGTGCCAAGAGGGCATATGAAAAACAGCCTGGAAATAATCTCGTCCCGGTCTGTTTAAAATAAAGCAAACATAATAAGAGCTAACTTATATTTATATGTAACTAAAGTGTTATTTGTAGGAACATTTTATAATACATAGCAATAGGTTTTCTCCTTAGTATCCAGTATCTACTGACATTAAACAATTTGTTCTTTAGATTTTTTTATTTATGATTTAAGGTATAATTTAAATAAAACTAGCAAAGGAAACCTTAATAAAATTAATATTAGATAATTCTAATGTTAAAATATAGTATATAGATTAACACTTGTATTAGTACACAATATAATACATACATACATAATATTGTCTAAATTGGTATAACAATTATTTATTGCAACTAATTTTATATAAAACCTGATAATAATTTCAAATCCTATTTCATTACATATATTATTATTTTTTTTATATTAATTATATTAGGAATGTAACTATTTCAAATATATTAAAATACAAGTAATATTTTTATTGCAAAGCAAATATCAACATTATGCAACATTTGACTAAAAAGGCGACATTAGCGAATTCAAATTCAATATGAGTATAATATATTATGTAGTTATGATATAGTAACACGAATAAGAAGCGCATATCGACTCGACAGCAGGTGGTGAAAGGCAGATGGCTGCGCCTGCGCATTCCTCATTTTGCCTAACAGACCAATAAAATTTGAACATGTTCACTATCAATGCAGGCTACTATACTTATTTTGATTATATTCAGCACATTACATCACTATGTAACAGGTTCATTATCGTCATGGTTATGGATATAATTGAAAAATACTATTTCATCGTCAATCGTAGTGACAGTTGCTTTACAGCCATAGTTCCGTTTGCAACATCTCCACAGTTGTCTGCAATTAGCACTCGGCTCCCTCTTGGCAGAATGGTATCTATGATTGTTAACTTGCAAAATTCGACCACCTCGAAGCGATGTCATGAATTGAATATCAAAATCTGTAAAAATTGTAAAAATATATAAGTAAGAATTCGTTTTTGGAATATATGGAACTACATAAAAAATCTTTAAAAGTAGGTAATAGGCATTTGTACGAAGAAAAACGTAGCACAATAATACAATTTTACAAGAAATTGAATTTCTACTTGTCGTAAGTAGGTATATTTAAATTATAAGAAAATTTTCCATTTTAATATACAGGAAGTTAAAGATACATATTAAATATATTATATGCATAAATATATCTAAAAATAATATAGACCCGTTTATTTATTTTTGTACATACCATGTTTTATTTATCTTACATTGTTACCATGTTTTAATTATCCTATAATACAATTCAATTAGAAATAAAATTGGTGAAATATATTTACAGTATGTTACTTATATATTACTATTTCTCTTAAATATATATAACAATAGCAATTATTCTTTATTTTGATATATTAAAATTTTACTAAGTCTTCAAAAAAGAACAATTTGATGAACATAATTCTGAAATATGTTATATCTACTTTATTATTTTAAGCTGTCAGGACAAAAATGGCCTAATCATATATTTTACAGTAATTCAAACATAAATAAAATACCTAAATAAAAATAATGTTCTCCTGACTGATTCTAGCCACGGCGGCCAATCTCATTGAGACTAGCCAACTGCGCAGGAGATATTATAGTGCACAAGTGTTCTCGCAGACACAAGTGCACTCTCTATTCCTGTCACTCTCATACTCCGGTGGGACGACCACTCAACACGACCGGTGCGAGTGGCAGCGCAGGACCGAAGGCTTTACGTGCTCTCCGAGGCACGGGGGTGAAACACCGCCAACTTTCCAACTCCGGACTGTTACTGAAGCTTACTATACAGAAAGACTCTATAACTAAACTTGACCCGATCCGGGACTCGAACCCAGGACCTCCGCGTGTGCAGCCGTACATGCTAACCACTACACCACCGAGGCATAATATTTACATAGTGAATGTAGGTATTTATATGTACATTAATAAGATGATTAATTATATTAACAAACCAGTCTTGGCATGCAACACCGTTATTGTGGGCATGGGATATCTCTCTTATAGTGTGGACTTCACATGTCTTTCAAAAACTTGGTACACTCAGACATGCAGTTTTCCTGACGATATTTTCCGTCACCGCATTAACAAATGGTAATCATGTTGTAAATGATTCGCATACATATCTCGCTTCACTTGGTTTTCGACCGACTTCCTCAAAAAGGAGGACGTTCTCAATTCAGCTTTATGTTTTTGAAGCTAATTGCCAAGTAATTAATCACTCACTCAAAATTTATTTCAATAAAAAAATAGTGTAATGAAAATATACAATCTTAAAATAAAATAAAAATACTTTGGCATTGCTGTCTATACAATATTAACATAATACGTTATGTTTGTGTAATATACCTAATTTTTATACCTAACAAAAGTACAGATTAGGCCATTTTCGAACTGACGACTTTTAGCCTACGATACGCTAGTCGTGGTTATGGGCTTCTCGTACTCGAATTATGACATTATCAATAGTTGTGACGAAAGCCGAACAACCATACGTCTTCTTTACACACCTCCATCTTATCCTTGGACCTTCATTTTGATGTACAGTGTATCTGTGCGATCCTATATCTAAACAACGTTTTCCACTGACAGTATATCCAAAAAAGGCTGGAAACATAATTCAAATTAAAAATATTTTTCATTACGACTGTATAATGTGTATTAAAATTTTATTATATTAGAATATTGTAAATGTAAAATACACACAACTTGAATTAAAATATTTTATTACTGAGAAGTAGATAAATGTGAAAAGCTAGAATATAAAAAATAACGGATGTTAATAAAAACAAAAGAAGGTCTAAAAAGAAGAAGCAGAAGAAGGTATAAAAGTCAGTTAAATGTAAATAACAATTTAAAATCCTGTAATAAATACACATGTAAATATCTAGACCGGAAACTTGAATATAAACTATAGGTACAATATTAAATTATCACTATTCATAATAATTGATTAAAACATCAACAAATGCTTTGGAAAAGCAAAATACCGACCAGTTAAATTCGAAATATTATTTTGTAATCCATACAGATATTGCTTTTCTTTATAATTTTAACAAACCACTATTTAGTGGTAAGGTATGAAATTAAATATATTTAAATACAACAATCAACAACAGTTCATTCATCCACTAATATATTTTTTTAAATTATAACTTAAACGATTAACATCTAAGTCATAGGACCTTAAATTTTTTTATCTAGAGTAGTTATAGAAGCTTTACAACCTCGCACCCATCATGCTAGCAGACCCAAAACACACGACGTCCTGTATACAACACATAATTTCTTAAGAACCCATGATGTTAAACACCAACATGGGAGGGGTGGGTACACGTTGGTAACATCATGTTACCAACGTGTACCCACCCCTCCCATTATGACAACTTCTGAAAAGTTTTAATATATGCAATAGACAATAGTTGTATTAAGCAATAGTATGTACTAGTTATAGAAAATTTAAAGACTGTCTTCGGGTAATCTTTTGTTCAGCATTTTTTTTTAAATATGAATAAGTATGAAACAAAATTTTGCGTTCACAATCATAGCGTGCAGAAATGTATTGTGATACGTATGCACATACAGGTTGTATTTCTTGCCTATATACATAACAACCTTGTGCACTAATATTTTATTTCCACTGCACATGGCTATTCTCAGTCGTCAGAAAAATAAAACAAGATTGGTTTTCAAAATAATATAAACATTTTTTGATCAATATTTG